TGGATTATACACACTGTATACTTTTGGAACTTTCATTCAATATAATAAAAATCTTTACCTCTTCTTAAAAAGATGAAATGGGAAGATTCGTCTTTTATAGATTTTCTAGAATTTTCTTACACTTTTGATAGCTTGGTATATAGTGTGTGATGATGATTTTGAGCAATGCAGATTCAAGCAACACCCTCTCCTTCATTGTGTGGAAACAAGGAAATTTTGGCAGTTGTTTATGGATCTGATAGGATTAGAATGAGTGATTTCAGGCAGCATATTGGACTTGCTTCAACAGTTGAGTTCTGTCAGATAAGGGCCCTTAGGAAGACAATCATGTGTTGGAATGAAATTTTGCATGCATCATGTAGGGAGTCTGGGAGAAGAGGAACAATTGGGTGTTTGAAGGAACTAAACAAACTTCCTAGGCTCCAAGCTTTCATGCTAAATTGTTGGATTAGTCTTTAAATTACATTAATGTGGACATCAAATTTTTATCTAAAGGTTCAGGCGTTAGCATCTGGGTGTATGCACATTAAAAAAGAATCTAAGTCTAAATGTATTTATTAATTGAGATGTATTACACTTATTTATGAGACTAGATAACACTATAGATGTAAATCTAGAAGTATGAATGAGAATGCTTTCCAAACCAACAAAGCTGTATTCTTTTGAATTATATTCCCTAAGCCCAAGTCCCCTTCCTCTTTACTCCGGCATACTGCCTCCCACTTAATTAAGTGGCCCTTTCTACTTTCCCATGGTTTCCAAAGAAAGTTTCTCATTAACTTATCCAGCTTCTTGGCTTCCCTAGTTGGGATCCTAAAGGCAAACAGGAAGTAGGTTGGTAGATTAGCTGATGTTGCTCTTATCAAAGTAATTCTACCCCCCAACGAAATGTGATTCTTTTTCCACGAGGCCAATCTCTTCTCAATTTTTTCTACATCTGGGCATCAAAAACTACTCTCCTTAGGATACCCTAGGATTAGCCCCTAAAGGAATCCCTAGATAGGTCAGGGGCCAAGTTGAGATAGAACACTCTAAACACTCCACAACAACATCCACCTCCCTTATTGGCATACTATTTCATTCTTTATTAATAAACTTTTTAAAGTTTATTGATAAAAAAATATAACAATAGTTCTATTATACAACCATATGTATGTGAAGAATGAATGTAGTAGGGATGCAAATAGATCAGATCAGATTTGAATCAGGGTATATCCGAATCCGATCCGAAGATCAGATCAGATCTCACAAATATTTATTTGGATTCAAATCCGATAAGGGTGTTGGATATCCAAATTTGATCCGATTCGAATTAATTTTTTTTAAAATAATAAATTATTAAAAGAAAAAGAAAATATAACAGTTTAAATAAAGAAAAACAAGAATGAAAGTATTTTTTCAACTATTTTCATCATATATATACATGTTTTTTATAAAAAATAAATAAAATAAAAAATTTACAAAAATACAATATAAATAACATATTTATAAATAAATAAATAACACAACACACACACACACATATATATATATATCAGATCGGATCCTTTCGGATCGGATAGGGGGATCCAAATCTGATTCAATTTTTTAATCGGATCCAATTATCCGATATAATCCAACCCGAAAATCTGAAATGAGGATATCCAAATCCAACAAAATAGGATCAGACTTCGGATTCGATAGGATCATGATCTGATCCATTTGCACCCCTAGAATGTACTTATTGCCAAGGTTTAAAATGTTGACATGCACGATACAAAAATGTTGCGTATCATGCATTTCTAATGGTTTTTTTTTTTTTTCAGTTTGATATTTAAAGATGGGTTTGTTAGGTTGAATATTAACAATTGAAGCTGTTAATATCCCCTAACTCCTGGTATTTCGAGAATCAGTGACCTTTGATACTGATATGATACGCATGATACAATGCAATACTTATTGATATTTTAAACCTTGGTTGTTGCTTTCAAAAAAAAGAAGAAAACTCAAAGCACAAAGGAGAGCCTTCGGTACCTTGACTGACTTGATTGCTATCATTAGGTGGAGGAGAGGCATGGCCGCATGGGTTGAGGGAGAAGGTCAAGAAGAGGTGCTCAACGGGGAGGTATACTTTTGGCTTTGGGTGGAGTTTCTTCTAATGTTCAAAGAACTGGACCAAACATAGAACTGAAAAGGGGAGAGGTTCATAGGTTAGAGGTTCAACCACAATCAAACCGAGGTCAAGCCATGATGATGTGGCATATACATATATACCATGGGCCAGATAAATACTATATATAATATTATACAAATATTGTTGTACTTAAATGTGGTGGATGGATGGTTAGTTCTTTTAATTTTTAAAACAATTGACTAGGTTTCAAACCTCCAAACTTGCATTTTCTTTAAAATACATATGTATTAAAGCAATATATGCATTAATGTACTTATAAATGAACATAATTAATGAAGTGGATTAATGGTTATGTTCCAATCAACGGAGCAGTGGGCGAAGAGGAGAGGAGGAGAAGAGAAGGGTAGAAGAGAGAAAACTCAAAACTCATGCTGGCAGTGCCAGTATTTTTATTATATATAGTAGGGCGACTGTACAACTTAAAAGAGGAAGAAAAAGACCAAAGTGCCCCTTGCGGCATACACTAAATATTACATAACTCCCCCTCAAGTTGGGGCGTAGATGTCAATCATCCCTAACTTGTCACATAGATCATAATGGCGCAAGGAATTCAATACCTTAGTAAAGACATCTGCAAGTTGTTCCTCTGAGCTGATGTAAGGGGTGCAAACTTCTCCTTGCTCAAGCTTCTCTCTGATAAAATGCTTATCAACTTCAATATGCTTGGTGGTTCTATCATGGAGAACTGGATTTGCAGCAATGTTGGAGCCAAGTGAAGGCAGCAGATGCAAACTGATTACAGTCCTTACCCAACTAGGTAAATACAAAAAACTGCTAAAAACAGAGCACAACTCTTGCTGTCTCAGATTTTCACAGACCTGAGAGGTGTCTTCTTAAGGCAATACGAACTACAGAAAACATTTAAAGAGGCTGCTGCCTTCTGTCAGTTGAACCAGGTCACTTATGACCTACTAAGATTCTTCAAACATGAAGATTATTGGGTCTTCACACCCACGAAGAGGGATAAACTCACTTTATATCATTCGGTCAAGCAGAATAACTTAATCAGTTCTTGGTTTCAACACCAAGAACTAAAAAAAAGGGTGGTTTAAGCTTCTGTTCGTATTCAGTCCAGGGTCTCTGTAGTTTCCAACCCAGGAACAACAAAAAAACACAGGAAGAAAAAACACTGACCTCTTAGGGAGATTTAGTCAGTCATCCACTGGTCTCTGGGTGTTGTATGAATCAGTTTCAGTCCAAGAAACAGGAGCAGGACAAGAACAAACAGTCTTCAAATGGAGTTCATGTGTGTCTCTTCCACTTCTCAGTCCCGAGGAGCAAGAAAGAGTTTCGACTTGCAGGAGATGATTTACAGAGCACTGCCCTGCTCTGGTACCATGTTCCAACCAACAGAGCAGTGGGCGAAGAGGAGAGGAGGAGAAGAGAAGGGGAGAAGAGAGAAAACTCAAACTCATGCTGGCGGCGCCAGTATTTTTATTGTATATACTAGGGCGACCGTACAACTTAAAAGAGGAAGAAAAAGACCAAAATTCCCCTTGCAGCATACACCAAATATTACATCAGGTTACAAGTCAACGTGCATGAAATAAAGGTCATGGGTTCAAATCTTCTTATTAGCATTTTGAAAATTCTTTATGTTTGAGACCCGGGCAGTGCTAGGAAACTGGGGCCGGTTCACCGGTGGGTCAGCCAGTTTTAAATGGTTTTCTAGCTATTCCGGTTTCTAGGGTACAACCAAACCGGATATAGGTCCGGTCACGGTCCAACCAGCCAGTCTGGTCCGATTTCCTAAACACTGGTTTCTTCTACTGTTTCCTTATTCTGTTCTCTGTAAGGGCTGCTGTTTGTGATAATTTGTTTTAGTTTGTTCCTTGGTCGGGGTTCCTGTAGGTTGTGAGTGAGGTGTTTATGTTGTTGGGGGTTCTATTTTCTTGGGTGATTTCTTATCACCTTCCTCTTGTATTTTCTTTTTCCTTGTAATGAATTTTTTTACTTTATTATCAAAAATAATCATTAAGCTTCTTTTTTATTAGGTGGTTGTTTGGATTTATCTCTTATTGCTGAGCTATTGGGCTGTAGTCTTATTATTTTTTATTTTTTTATATCTATGGGCCTAAGTTTATTAGTTCTCTAAAAGTGTTTATTAGTGCAGCACCCTATTAAGGGAAATCTTATAATATGCTGCAAATTATGATTAGAGTTAATAAAATATGATGAAGGGGGCTGGGAGACGTTTTGATTCTTTTCTCCCAAAACCCTATTATCTTCCTTTCTTTCTTCTCTATTCATCTGAACACTTTTCTCTATTTCTGCTTGTTTTCTTGATTAAACCCTAGATTTGTTGCTGCTCTGATTTACATCTCTTATATTGTTGGTCATATGTATGTATTCCGAGTTCTTTTTGTTTTTTTAATTACTTCCTTTTTTTGCTTTTCATTTTGGGATCATAATATGGTAATTTCTTCCTAAGTAGAAAAAGGATATCTCAAAGAAGACATGGCACCAGAAAAAGCAAGAACTTTTTCCGTCTTTTGCTTACTTTTCTTTTCTCCCCTTTCTCTCAGTACTTCAACTGTTATGTTTTTTTGATTTTCTTGATAGACATGCTATCACTTGGTTCACAGCAGGCTGAAACTTTTTCCTCCCATGGCTTACCATACTATTCTGTTGGTCTCTGTATTAGTATGACTGCTGTGTAGAGACCAGTGAAGCGTTTCATATTTTGTTGTCCAGTTTTTACATTTAAATTAACATCTTAACAAGGAAATAATTCCACATATTAGATATAAGGACCATTTGAAACCTATTGCTATTTTCCCTTTGCCAATCCATGTTAAATCACTTATTTTCCTAATATCATTTACAGTGCTCCATTGGCATCTACCCCTGTATGGGCACGAGATTTTGGTTCTTCTGAGGAATTCATCACCGAGTTTTGTAGAGAATGCAGAATTGTTCGTAAAGGTAGTCTGTCAGTTCTTTATAGTTCAATTTTCTAGTTGTGGTATCTGTTATGTTGCTCAATGATTTTGTAATTCTCCCAGGTATTTTTTTCCTCTAATCATTCCAGAGTTTTTCCATTTATTGGTGCCTTTCTATTGTTTGTCAGAACTTTACTATGACATGGTTGTGTACTTGTATTCTTGCTAGGTTTGGCTGGTGATTTAAAGAAGGCAATGAAAGATGGAAAACCCATTATAATTGAGGTCAGATCTGTCAACTTATAAATTGTATATTGTAGTGATATTTTTATACTAATCTAATGATCTACATATTTAGCCAACACCTGTATATGGATACAGACATGGAGACCAATATGGGAGATCGGATACAGCTATCTGTTTCCTAAAATTCAGGATACAGATAGGAAAAGTGATATCCCATCCCATGTAATATGCTTATGTAAGTGAAATGTCATTTTCAATTCTTACACTTTGCCAAACTTAACTAAACTCTCTAAGTGTACACAGATTCATATATCAGTAGGCTAGCCGTTCACAGCAATGCTTGGCACATTGCTGTTTGTATATATACCATTCTTTTATATAATTCGATAAGTTTTTGATTGTTACTTTCCTACTGATAGCAAAAGGCAAGAAATAGCTAAGTTTTTTTTTTTTTTTTTAAGAAAAAGTTTACCATTTTATGTTATGCCTGGAAGGATTGGAAGAACAGTAGTTATTGGCTTGTGGTTCTCAGGGATTTTACTGTATATGACATAGTGATATTGTAAAGAGAATGTGCATCCATAGTGGAGGGTGCCTTGCCCACTCTTTTCAGTTACATACTTAATACAAATACATTTTTCCCCTCATAAAAAAACAGGAAGAAAATATCTTTAACTGTTCTTTTGATGTATTGGTGGGGTACGCGTATATGGGTGTTCATGGTGGTAACTTGTTAAAAAGGTCATTGCCCAATTTCAGTCCCAGCTATCTGAAGTCTTGGGAGGGATGGGCTGGATACAGATCTAACCCTTGACATTTCTTTTACATGGTACTAACTCCTTAACCATGTAAATTTCTTGTTGGGATCTCCATTCTGTGACATATTAAAATCCCATAATATTTATCAAAATTGAGTTTCTTTGAAATAACTTAGACACTTAAAGGAAGGATGATCACTTGTCACTGAAAGATAACCTTTCCTTAAAACACTTAAAAAATGAAGAGGTTGGCAGCTTTTCCTTAATGTTGTGTATATATATATATTAAATCAATTGCTTTTTTCCAAATTGAGTCCAATACATTTTGTTTTCTACTAATGGGGTTCCTTAGTTTGGTTACTTCTCATAATTAAAATGCATTCATGTAACTTGTGTTCTTATGTTTATAACAGGGAATCCATTTGGATCCAAGTATTTATTTAATGGATGATGAGAATAGAGAACCAACTAATTTACCTGCAAAAAAAGAAGAGCCAAAACCTCTCCCTGTTACCAATGTGGATGATGATGCAAAACAAAAGGAATGCGATACAACAAATAATACTTGTGGAGTCCCCAATGAGACTAGCAGCTGTATTGCTGGAAATGTGAGGCCAAAAGTGGTAACATCTGCCAACCAGGTTGAAGAAGTTTCAGGTTGTTTGAAATCTCTTGATTTGTCAGGAAGCTCTTCTGAGAGGCAAGGTTATCATCTGATTAAGATATCATTTATGTTATTTGGTGTCCTCTTTATTGTTAGTTTAGTTTTTCTTTATTCTTATTGTTAATTCTTTCTCAGTTTTTGGGTGTAACAAATGAATGATCTGCTATTGTAAATGGTGCTTCTTGCTTTAATGATGTGTTATCCTGTAGGTGAAGCTCTTAAAGGTCCAGGAGTAATTTCCAGTCACCTTGTGAAGAAAGAAAAAACAACTCCTGAACCAGTAATTATACCCATAGTTCTGAAGATGGCTGAGTTTGATCACAAGGTTAATTAGCTTTACTTTCCTCGTTTCTACTGATATTACTTGTTTTTTTTCTTTTGTCATTTTGATACCTATAAATTTATCAGAAAACATCATTGAGGCACATGTATCTTTGCTGGGAGATTCAATCTTCTGCATGTTCCTCCTGCTTTTGACAAGTGAAGATGAAACTTACTTTAAAAGGAGGAGCAAAAAGGAAATTTATACTGTAAAAATGTTGCTTATAGTACTTCCTTTATGCTGCCAGCCAGCATTTATTTTTTGGGTGCCGGGGGGGGGGGGAGGTGGCATTAGAGGCCATGGAAGAGTTTTTCTGGTATCATCAAAGTAGAGCTTCTGTCACTTCTTCAGGGCCTGAGATTATTGCATTCCCATCAACTGTCTAGGGTGGAGGTGGAAGGGGATGCTCGGGTGATAATAAGGTGGATGAGAAATGACAATGGTTGGCCAATGGTTGTTCTGACATCACGTTAGAGAAACTAGATATCTCACTGCTAGTGTGAACATTGAAATCTACCATAAACGATGATCAGCTAATTCACTTGCAGACATGTTAGCTTGGGGGTGAAAGGGGATAGGATAGGTATCAGTTGTATTGGGGATCATCCCTCCTGGGTTAGATCTTTTTGGGGTCTCACTGTGTGTATGAGCTAGTAGGTATGTATATGTTGTATCTTGATGTGGGCTTTGCCTTTGTGGTCGATCTTTGGTCCTGTCCATACTTTTCTCTTTTTTCTTTTTCTTTAATAATGTTCCTTCTCCCCTATGTGAGGACGCAGAGTGAAGATGATGGAGAACTTTGAACTGATGAGACAGTGGAGAAAGGAAGTGAGGATTGAAGCTAAAGAGTTTTTGTTCAAAGAGATGAAGGCAAGGAACCAAGTAAATCTAAAGGTGAGAGAAGAAAAGAAAGTGACAGTATACCTTTAACAAGAATCAACAGCTTGGTTGAAAGTCCTTTTGCAAGTGACAATAGCTTCGAAGAAAACACAAAACTGTAGCAATGTCTTGAGGAGAAATGAAAAGATCTTCAATGCTGAAATGAAGGTTAATGCCAAAGGATGGTTTATTATGCTGACCGAATGGTTCAAGCAAGTAGAAAGCAAATAGTCTGTATACCGATGGGAAAACAGATCATGGGTTGGGTTTTATTTGCAGAGGTGTTATAGACTTCCTTGTGGAGAGGTGACGAAGGTGCTAAAATCTCTTAGGCATTGAAAGATAATAAAACACTCTCAACCAAGGATAATATCACATGAAGAGGCATCAATGAGCAATAGAGCTTTTTGGAATGGTGCAGAAAATACGTGGTTTATGTCAATAGAAAAGTAAGCAACTGGAAAGCCATAGCAGAGGAGATTAGAAGGAGGCTATCCCCTAAATGCTCCTTGAACCTAATCTCGTTCCAAGAAGGTAAAGCCATATTGGAAGTAGACAACATAGAGGAGGAGATTCATGCCCTCCCAATCCAACAGAGGGCTTTGTGGTCGTAGGGTAGTGGAATCCATTAGGGGTGCTCACGGTTCAGTTAACCGAACTGTGGGCTTATTTTTGAAACCAAACCAGGGGTTCATCGGCTTTTTATATATTATAAAAAATATATAAATATATAATAAAACACTAGAAATATATATAAAATATTATATTTTAAATAATAAATAATATATTATATATTATAAATATATATTGATATATATATATATATAATGCATATTTATTAATTTATAATGTATAGAAAATATAAAAATATATAAAATGTATATAATATTACATAAAATATATAATATATGTATACGGTATACCGGCCGGTTCGGTTAACTGCCGGTTTTCTATTTTGGTTAACCAAAACCAAACCTGTACCTTTGGTTTTTTTTTAAATACCGAACTAAAACCGAATCGACTGGTTCGTTTAACCAAATTTTCGGTTCGGTTTTTCTTGCTCACCCCTAGAATCCATGAGCTAATAGTATCACTCTAACGGGTACCCCTTGGGTGAAAGCTATAGGGATTCTCTTTTATGCCTGGCTAGATGATACCTTTAGGAAAATCACAAATATCTGTGGAGGCTTCATCCAGAAGCTAGATACTTCGGACATTACTGCAACTTCCTTCAACTTGGTGGGTGTGAAACCGGAAGCAGTGCCAAGAGAGGTGGATCTGATCATAGATAATGTTACCTATAAGGTTTGGTTGTTGCTGTTGCAAGAAGCTCAACTCTGAGAGGACTGCCAAAGGTAAGAGATGAAGATGATATTGCAACAAAGAGGGGGCATGGCGCTTTGGTACAAGAAGCTGAAAGGGTTTCAAATGAATTGAAGGAAACCCAACCGTTTAATATTTCGAAAGGTTCTATCTAGATAACTAAATATGTGGTTAAATCTGGGCTGTTCAACCAAGATTGAAAGCCGAAGTTTAATTCATATGCTGAAGTGATGACAGGTGGTCAAGCTAAAGAAGTTGAAGGGATGCCAGGAGTTGAACTGACAATTGAACCAAGAAGCTCGAGTGAGCCGATCAACCAAACCACAAAATCGCGTGACCAATTAAAAGGTCAAGTGAGAGGTCTAGGGCTCTCTTTAAGGGATGATATCAATGGTTTATCATCTTCCTTTTTGATGCCTAAGGACCCCCCCTTAGACGTAGCATAAAAACAGAGAACTAAGTCTCATTCCAACTGCTTGAGAAGTGTGAATGCATCTAAAATGGCCTCGGATTGCAACTGGGCTTGGAGGTTGGTGGTGAGCAAGAACACTATGACCCCAAACAAGTGCAGTCCAAATTTTTTTTAGGCCTCCTCATGAAGACTCGGAGGAAGATAGTGACTGGGAGGATTTGAGAAAGGAGGAAAATAACGAGGTTGATCAACCCTCCAGCATTAGGAGTGTGGTTACAACTAAAGATTGCAAGATCTGGAATGAGGAAACTCTTGGAACAAATATTCTATTTGAAGACCCCTCTAAAGACTAGTTTGGCAATGAAAGAAGCTGGACTTGAAATGCCTACCCCAAACTTAGAGGGGGGGGGGCATAGAATTAGCTAAGAGAGATAGGATTTCAACCAACATAGTCATAGGATTAGGGTGTCCATACTTGGGACATTGGTCTTGATACTGATGTTCATATTGAAGCACAAGAGGAACAATTTATTGATGCTATCCGTGTGTTACTTGACAAGGACATACACTTAGCAGGAAGGTTGCAAAAAGAGGCTTACTCCATATCGGAACAGGGAGTCCCTAACCTCTCACCCCCTTTTGTTTCGTTTCCTAATCCTAGTGTTCCTTGTTCTAAAATCCCTTCTAATACTACCTTCCCTGTTGTTGTAAACCCGGCTGAGCCATTCCATTCATGAATGCTTGCAATTGAATTGCCACTGATTTTGGTGACGAGGAACCATTGGGTAGTGACATTGAGCAAGAGAGGGATAAAATCCTGAACCTTGTCGAGAAAAGCAACCTCATTTAGAAGGAATGACTTAATCAAAGAAGGGAGAGGCGGGGAGACAAAAAGAGAGGCAAAAGAAAGGAAAATGGGGGGAAACAAAAGTTTATTTGAGGAAGAATGGAAAGCAAAGGAAGAGAAAAAAGAATGAGATTGAAAAACTTAAGTGTGGTATAAGTTATGAGGAAGAAAATATGAGAAAGGAGAGAAGGAAAGGGGAAAGGCGACTCTAGGTTACATGTTAGGGTCCCTCAATTCAGTGAAATGAAGATTTTGAGTTGGAATGTGAGAGGTTTAGGACTGGGTGGATTCTCTATGGCCTCCTACCAAAAGCATTGGGATCTTTTGAAATTAGATCTTCTGCAAGTGTTTAAAGAATTCTTCATCAAAGGGGAAATCCCCTTTAGAGCAAATGCTACCTTTTTCTCTTTTGTATGCAAGGAGGACGTACAATCTCCGAAGGACTACGGACCAATAAGCTTGATAGGGAGTCTTTATACGATAATTTCAAAGGTTCCGTTGGAGAGATTAAAGTAAGTTCTACCTTCAGTGGTCTCACTGTTTCAAGGGGCTCTTGTGGGAGGCAGACAAATCGTGGATCAAATCCTATTGGCTAATGAATGTGTTGTCAAGAAAAAAAGTAGAGAGAATGGTTTGGTTTGCAAATTGGACCTAGTAAAGGCCTATGATCTAGTGAACTGGAGATTTTATTAGAAATTCTAGAAAGGCTAGGGTTTGGAGATAGATGGAGGATATGGATTGGAGGCTGTGTTAAATCATTTTCTATTCAATTCTTATCAATGGAGTGGCAAAAGATTTTTCCCCAGCAAAGAAAGGTTTAAGGAAATGGGACTCCCTATCCCCTTTCCTTTTCACTTTAGTGGTAGTCTGGCAGATGTCCTAAGCAAGATGATTATGGCTGCAGACTTACAAGGACGTTTTAGGGGTTGGAGGGTAGGGAGAAACCAAGTAATCGTTTCCCACTTCCAATTTGTTGATGATACAATCCTGTTCTATGAGGATATTGATATGGAAATGGTGATAAATTTAAAGGTGCTGATTGATAACTTTGTGGGTATATCCAGATTGAGGATTAATTGGAGTAAAAGTGGAATAGTTAGAATCAACTTGGAGGAGGGGGAAATTTTGAGGTTTGCAAAGGTACCTGGGTTGTGAAATAAGGAATTGATCTATTACCTACCCAAGCTTACCCTTGGGGGGAAACACAAGAGCTGGTGGATTTTGGAAACCAGTGGTAGAGAGGTTTGCAAAGAAACTAGCTCTGTGGAGAAGAAATTATATTTCCTTAGGGGGAAGAATCACCTTGGTTAGAGCCACTTTAGCAAATCTACCTATCTACTTTCTTTCAACATTCTGCATCCTCTCTAGGATAGCAAGACAACTAGAGAAATATACGAGGGATTTCCTATGGGAGCTGGGAGAGTTAAAAAAGACCACTTGGTTAAATAGGAACAAGTTAGTAAACCAGAAGAAAAAGGGGGCCTAGGATTAGGAAACATTGCTATTAGGAACACTGCATTGTTAGGAAAATGGTTGTGGAGATTTCCATTTGAAAGAGACAGGTTGTGGCACAAGGTAATCGTAAGCATTTATGGTTTGGAGGGCAATGATTGGGATGCTAAAATTGCTCCTCATACAACTTCAGCTTCTCCTTGGAAAGATATTCATGAAGTATACCCTATATTTCTTAGCTCTGTCCACTTTGATGTGGGAAGAGGGGACAAAATCCGTTTTGGAAAAGACCTTTGGGTAGGGGAATCACCACTAAAAGGTCAATTTCCTAAATTCTTTTCCCTCTCAATTCTCGAGAATGTAACTGTGTTCAGTTTGAGTACTCTCTTTCCCTTCAAGCCTTAAGCGAAACCTTGGTTTTAGAAGAGGTCATAGGGAAAGAGAGTGTAATTTGTAGATTGACCTTCTTAAAATCTTGGAAACAGTTACCCTAGGCCCAAATTTGCAGTTGGAGGATTCTAGACTCTGGGTAATTGCCATAAACAGACTTTTCTCTTGCTCCTCTTTCTTTAGACATCTAGCTTTACCCAATCATCAAGAGGTGAACTTCCTGGTGAAAGAAATTTGGTGTAAGACTATTCCACCAAAAATCCAAGCTTTTTGCTAGACTATTTTCCTTGGAAAGGTAAATACATGTGATGTGTTGCAGAAAAGGAGGCCTTATTGCCTCTCTCCTCAAATTTGTTTCCTATGTATGGATAGTGGAGGGACCTTTTCCCATTTATTAATATCTTGTCCTTTTGCGCTTTGTGTTTGGGAGTTTTTTGTTCTCTCTTTGGCTGCAGGTGGGACCCCCCTCAAGAGGTGGTGGATATTTTCAACCCAAACTTCCTGAGGCAACAAAAGAAGAATGTGGAAAGCTACTAAGGCAGCAACAGCTTGGGTGGTGTGGGAAGAGAGAAATAACAGAATCTTCAATGAAAAGAATAGGACTGTGGAAGAGGTAATAGATAGCATAAAAGTGAAGGTTGCTTTTTGGGTCAAGACTTTGGATTACTTCCAAATATGCTTTGTCACTGACATTATAAGATCTTGTAAGGAAGTATCGCAGTCCTCTAGAACAAAAGAAGTAAGATTGGAGTGGAAACCTCCAGAAGGCAATAAAGTTAAACTGAATTTTGACAGTAGCTCCTTGGGTAACCCGGGATTGGCAGGAATAGGTGGAGCAATCAGAAGTTCAGAGAGCAGGATTTTGGCTTTATTTTCAGGGCCAATTGGCATTACTAACTCTGCGAAGGCAGAGCTGTTGGCATTGCTGCATGGACTTCAGTTGGCAAAGCAATTGGGATTTAGACAAGTGGAGGTGGAAGAGGATTCAAAAGTAATTATTACATGGGCATCTTGTAATAGACAAATTCCTTGGATTCTCAACCATATTTTCAGGGAAGTTGAAAGACTGGCAAAGGACTTAAATGCTGATGTCAAATGGGTTAGAAAGAATGCAAACGGGCTGGCTGATGCCCTAGCAAAACAAGGGGTTGCAAGGTAGCAGTTTTATTGGACATCTTTGTAATCTACTTGTGTGTGGGGGGATTACACTCCTATAATCAAATTGTACTAATCCACCTTTAATCAATTTAATAAAATATCTTTGCTGATAAAAAAAGGTCCCTTTTTATTGATCAGCAAATAAGACTCTTATTAAAATCAGAGATAATATTAAATTACAAGAGTTAGGTTTCAGCACTGCATTGACCCAAGCTACAAACAATTACGTCTCTGCCCAGAACAAAGTAGGTCTATTTGCTCTCTGTTTTGCTAGGGTATCCGCCAGACCATTTGCAGTCCTTTTTACCCACCAAACTGTGAGTTGAACCTCCTTGCAAGTATGTTAATTTCCCTATAGATAAATTTGAGCTTCCAAGGTGCTGAAGTGATTTGCTTTTCCCAAGAAATTACTAGTAGTGAGTCTCCTTCAATTTCTAAATCTGTTGCTCCAATCTGCTCAGCCAGCTTTAAGCCTTGTAAGAGAGCTAGAGTTTCAGCCTGAATTGAGTCACCAATACCTATTGATCCTGAGAAAAGTGCCACAACTTCTCCATGATGATTTCTAAGCACACCACCTATACCTGCCCTTCCTGGGTTGCCAAAGGACCTCCCATCAAAGTTTAGTTTTAGTTTATTTAGTGCAGGTTTCTTTGGGTACATCTGTTTGTGCCACTTCACTCCACATCCTTAGAATGTCATCACCCAATGTGCAGCTCTGATTTTTATGGATTTCAAAGAAAATTCTTTAATCAATTAATGAAATCTCTATTATTGATAAAAAAAAAGAAATTTCTTTGGTTTCTTTCCTCCCATAAAGTCCATACCACAATAGAAAGAAAAACGGTTCCTATTACTGATACAAAAAAGGTGTTATAATTGAATCAGGATTTTTTTTAATTTTTATTTTCTCTAATATTGTGGTGCAAGGCTTATTGAAATATGAAATAATATTAACAATGGCATGTACTTAGTGATAGCACAAGTTGAGATCTAGCTTTTTCCAATGCAATGCTAATTGACAATGTCTATGCTCTGTTATGTCTTAATTTTGTTCTGAGAAGTTTATTCACGATTTCGTGATGTTCTCAGTTTAACAGTATTAGTTGATTAAGTTGCCTTATTTTTATGGGCCTTGTGTCATAATGATGAGGAGCAGATAGTCACCAACAATTTACAGACCTGATAAAAAGCCCATTGAGTAAGTCCCATTTAACCAGTCCATGGAGTGTTTTTTCAAGGCCATCTAACTATATGGGTCCCCTACCCAACGAAGTGGCTCTATTATGAGAATTTTATCCTTCTTCCCTTCATTGGTTAGGTTCCCTATTAGTATAATTAAGTATTAATGAGATCAGGACAAGCTGTGGTCTTTGGGGACCGGATCCGGTTTTAGGAGGATAGATGGTTTGCTGACAACTTTCTTTGTGAGGCGTTTCCATAGTATGGCTTCTCCTAGGGAAGTTATGATGCAAGAGCATTTGGAGTTTGTGGCTGATGATGTGCTATAGGACCCACATTTCGGGCATCACATACCATACTAGAACTTGGACCCTGGAACAACCTATGCAGTCCTTCCTAACAGTCATTGATGGGGAGGATGTCTCATTCTGTTGGTGATAGATTTGGGCCCTCATCATATCATTTTTTTTTTTTTTGAGAAAGGTAAAGTATCATTATATTAGTATAAACAAAAAAGTGTACAGCAAGATGATGTACTTAGGAGCCAAAACAATCTATTCCCTCTAACCTTGACTCCCCCTAGAGGTGTAATGTTGGGTCGTGCCAGGCTGGCATGGCCCGCAAACCTGGGCTGGGATGAGCCTGGCTAGGTCTTTTTTTTTCATTTTTCCTAAGTAAAAAATGACAAAATTTTGGGAAAAATAAAGTTTTAAAGATTCAGCATTCCTTTCACCTCAAGTTTTAAAGATATTTGAAACCCATCTTTGTTTTTGAGATTATCCATCACAATTTCCCAGTACATTTGTGTTTTGTTTGCCCCCTGTTTGGCTGTGGCATCAGCCAAACCAATTTAAACTCATTTTTTGATATTGAAAAGTCTGGTCTTCATAATCTTTGTTCACAAAGCGTTTAGCTTTTAACACCACCATGTGATTGGGAGACGTATAGATACTAAACATTAACAATCGATGAAATGAGAGTTTTCTCTATTTATCCCACTTAATATATGCTTTTATTAGTGTGCTACTGTGCCTTTAGCAATCTTTTTATGAAGTTTGATTTGCTTCTTGTCAAGGATTTTGGAAATATTACTTTTTTTAGTAGTTCATGATTGCCAATATTTTGCTTGTCTTATTAACCCCTTCTTTCTTTTGGTGGATCAAGGCGTTACTGGAGGAGTGGATATCCACTCGTACATTTGGTGATAAATGTCTAGCCCAGGTATTGAGAATTACTTGTTGTGGTTATTAGGATATCAGAACATGCACATTGTAGACGATAATGTAGCTTTTTAAAGATGAGTTCTTTAGAGTGCATAATATGTTACCTGAATGACTAGTGGCTACTTTTATCTTGCTTTGGTGTTTATGTGGTATGCACAATCAAAAGAAGAATTTATTAAAACTTGAAGTTTGATGATTCAATGAGACTGTTTTCATTTGTTATATCTACAGTGTATCATTCATTAGCTAAATAATTCCAACAACAAGAAAAGTGTCAGCTTCTTTATTATGCTCGAGATAATTGGTGATAAACGTGGCAGGGATAACATATGGAAGTACTATCATCTGAACACTAGGTTACTAGCCAAACCTGAAAGCTTAAGAAAATGCCTACTACTTGGGATTTGAAAAACTGTTTGCCATAGCAGCAAAATGTGGTGTAATCATTCTTTATTTATTTACGTTTTTTGAAGGATAGTTGAAAGAAATTATATACAAAGCTTCTTAAGGCATGAAAAAAAGAGGGAGAATTAAGTGGAGGGCAGCAAGGGCAGCAGTGGTGTGGACTATTTGGGAAGAAAGAAACCAAAGAATTTTCAATGACAACAATAGGTCTATGGAGGAGTTGGTAGAAGGCATACTAGTCAGAGACACACATTGGGTAAAAACATTGCAATTCTTTTGAATATTCTTAGTAAATGAGATAGTGAGAAAATGGTCAGAAGTAGCATAAATGGATAGAAGGAAAGATAGTGTGATACTGGATTGGAAACCCCTAGCTGAAAACAAAATGAAGCTGAATTTTGATGGTAGTAGCTCTACAGGCAATCTGGGGAAGGAAGGCATAGGGGGTGTGCTCAAGAACCACTTAATGGTGGTGGCTATGAATTGAAGGCCAATTGGTATTGGTGATTCGGTTAGAGTTGTAATAATGGAATTGTTGCAAGGACTGACATTAGCACAACAGCTTGGTTTCCGTGAATTGGAAGTGGAAAGAGACTCAAAATTTGTCATATTTTGGACAAGGGAAGTTCATCACCTTGGAGCTACAGGCATGCCTTCAGGGAGGCAGGTCACCTATCAATAGAACCCAATACCACCTTTAGCTGGGTTAGAAGAACTGCAAATGGGATGGCAGATGTACTAGCAAAACAGGGGGTTAATAGACGTTAATTGTTTTGGGCAAAAGTGTAAAACTTTTATTTTTTTACTTCAGATCTGAATTTAATGAATTTCTTTTTCTGATCAAATAATAATAATAATAATAACACTAAATTATATACAATTTACATGTTTGTAAAACATAGTATTACCTTTACACCCTTAATCATTTGACCATTTTTTTTGGTAAAAAAGGGGCAGCCCAGTGCATGAGGCTCCCACACCAATACAGGGTCTGGGGAGGGACAGATGTATGCAGCCTTACCCCTGCACATACTAACAGGCTGTTCCCAAGATTTGAACCCTGGTCACCCTGGTCACAATGGAGCAACCCAACCGTTGTGCCAAACCCACCCTCATTTGTCCATTTTTTGGTAGTAAATAAAAAAGAAAATTTATAGAGAAATAAGAGTACAAAAAAGGTGATAAGATATCACCCAACAAAAGAAAAACGAAGCCCCAAAAGCAGCCACACTCCTCTAATCTAGATTTGACTTCTAGGTTCTAATATTGTTAAGCATTGAGGAAAAGATTATCTGTGATCATCTAAACTTGCTTTGTACATTTAATCATGAGGAAACTTTCATAGTTCTCATTCCAAAGGAGCAAGGTGCATCCCACCCCTTGGGATTTTAAGCCAATCAACCTTACAAGAAGCTTCTACAAAACAATTGTCAAAGTTCTATGTTCTTGTAATGTCCATCTCCCTCTGTCAGATAGTCTTTGTTCATGGCAAGCAAATCATTGGCCAGATTATCATTGCCAATGAGAGTATGGAGAAATTCAGAAGAGGAACAAAATTCATGGCAATCTCACTTCCCACTGAAGTTTCTCAAACCTCCTTTCAACCTTCAACTTAGCCCGTCCATCCTCTACGAAAGACTACTTTAGTTTTTGAGAATACCAATTCTCTCCCCCTCCCAATGTAACCCAAATTCCAAACCCTTTAAATGTGGTCTCACTTCCCTACAAGTCAGCAGTTGGAAACCTATTATTCATAAACACCCTTCTTAATACTAGGAAATGTGCATGTGCTTTGCACATGGCAATTTTTTATGATAGCAAATAATATGCTTCCAACATTTTCGACATTTTTTTATTTACATGTCTATAAAAATTATTCGTATTTGTCATGCTTATTTTTGTTTAATATGATGAATATACAATATTAGAGATGTGCCTAAATGTTTTTTACAATTTTTTTTTTTTTTTGCATTTTTTTACTTTCATGTTTTTTTTATCTTTTTTAATTTTTATTGTTGTTTAATAAAAAGGTTGAAGGTTTGTAGAAGAAGATGGAGAATAGGTGATTAAGGAACTGTGAAACAGAAGTAGAAGAAGATGGAGAATAGGTTTGTAGAAGCTGCTAGATGGAGGAGAGTGATGAAGATTGAAGCAAAAGATTTCTTATTTGAAGAGATAAGGATTAGGGGCCAGCAGAGCTTGAAGATTAGGGAGGCAAAGAGAGCCACAATATTGTTGGAAGAAAGGTCTTGAAGTGATTGAATAGTTGCAGAGTTTTGTTTCAGAAGCAAGCTCCAAAGGTAAACAACTGAACTTTATGAAGTTCAACCTTGATGAAAGAAAGAACTACGAATTGGAATGCAAAAATAATGCAAAAGGATGCTACATAACACTGCAGGAATTCTTTGGAGGAAGAAAGAAGCAGTTAGCTTGTTTCCCAGAAGGTAAACAGGGTGTAGGATGGAAGGTAGTGGCAGAGGTACTGAGTGACTTTACTCAGCAGCTGAAAACAAAACAAGCAGAGGCTGCAGTGAAGGAAAAGAAAGGGGGTAATCACAAGAGAAAGGAAGAAACCACTGATAGGGATTGGATGATTGCAGAAAAAGGAAAAAGAACTTGTGAACTGGTAGCAACAGCAGAAAAAGAGGATTGGGGGAAGAAATTTGTGGTTGAAACTTCAAGTCCACCAAGGGATTGGAGAGGTATTGCTCAGGCGATACTCAAAGAATATAACCTGCAGAAGCCGATGGTGATTACTCCTTGTGAACCTTGTAAAGCTGTGATAGATCTGGGTGAAGATGAAGTAGAGATTTCAGCCTTAAACTTTCTTTCTGAGGCTGGTGCTGCTACAGTCTCGAATTGGTGTCCTCTATCTAACACCAAATGCTTTGAGATTGAAGACAATGTAGTAGTCAGAGTGCTTGGGTTACCTTTCAATCTCTGGAAGGAGGAAGTTTTATAGTCAATAGCTTTAACCTGTGATGCAAAATTAGAAGGTGTTTTTGATTGTGATCTCCATTCAGTTGCAGTGAGGTTAGGTGGTGTTAAACCCAATGACATCCCAAGGAAGATAGAGGTTATTTCGGAGGGTTTAGTAATACCCCATCTGGCTTGCTACCTCCATTGAAGCCCAGCTTTGGAAGGAAGGAAGAAGGGAGGAAGATGAAGGGGCAGAACAGGCCTGGTTGCTTGGTATGCAAGGCAGAGTAGACACTACAAAAGAGGCTGTCTTCTGAGGCAACTAGGAAAAAAGAGAGAAGAAAAAAATTTAACTACTTGGGGAAAGCCTGCTGGGCAGGGTGGGCTGAGGGATGGCAGGTCCTATGTTCAGTCGGTGACAGGAGGTTTAATTGGAGGAAGCTCTGCGCCAGGAGTTCAAATTTCAACAGAAACTGAACAAAGGTAGGCAAAGGTTCAGGGGTTAAGCCGGTCCTTTCTGGTCCTTTGAACCGAGGCCAGTCACATGTTTCTTTAAGTGAACACGTGACTGGTAAAGAAGTCGGGAGGCTGGGCCCAGGCCCATCAAAGATTAAGGGGCCTTTTCTTGCGAGTGGGCCGGCCGGTTTAAACAGTGTGAACCCAAGTCTTAAATTGCCACGTGCCAACTTAAGTAGGCACGTGACCAAAGGATTAGAGAGGACGATGGACCAAAAAAAGGGTCTATCATCGTCTCCCACGAGCAAAGCTCGTCTGCCGCTCGCAGGGGAGAAAGCTAGTAGCAGCGGAGTGGCAAGTTCGAACTGGGCTTGGGTTCCAAGCAAGAAGAAGAAAGTTTTCTCCCCGGAACGGCGCAATCCTAGGTTCAAGAAGCACTCGTTGACAGTGGAGACAGGGAGTTCCCTCATTCCGGAGACAGCAAATCAGGTCTTTACGAACACGGTCGAGATCTGCGCGACGGAGGAAGAAGGTAGCTCAGATTCAGAGTCTAAAGACTCTTCAAGTATTGGAAGCGTGGATCTGGAAAAAGCCAAATCCCTCGGTGCTGATGAGAGCCTTCACACCGAGTTGCTTTTTTTGGGACAAGACGACTTGGATGTTTCAGTTTCAGCTCAGAAGACGTACTCTCAATGTCTCTTATTATCTACGGATTCGGGCTCCCAGTTCAACAAGGGGAATGGTACTGATGTGGGTTTCCTGCCTGAAACAGGTACTTCTGCAGCTCAACTTGATGCATCAGCCATGGTTGGAAGGGACAAGGGGGGCAAAGAACAAGAGGAGGTGGTAAGGGGAAGAGAATCACAGGAAAAGGAGTTAGAGATGATCTGGGATCAAATCTGTATGTTTTTGGAGGAATATAGGAGAAAAGAGGAAGAGGTAGGGAAGGGTGAGGTTCAAGAAGGTTCAACAAAAACAGGGGATCAAAGTAGGAAAAATACAAAGGATGAATCAATTATGGGAAAGATGCAGAATGAGGAATTAGAGAGGATTTGGGGACAGATCTGTGCCCTCCTCGAGGAGTATAGGCAAAAAGAGGAATCTTTGAAGAAAAACCAAGAAATTTCGAAAAGGCAAAATAAAACAAGAGCAGTCTTAAGCAGATCTGGAACTTTTAACAACCGTAGGAAGAAGAAAAGATCAGGGGTGGAAAGGCTG